AGCTGTCCCCCCGCCCACTCCCGTAACCCCCTCTATTGCCCCTCCCTCCCTGCTGTCCCCCCGCCCACCCCCGTAACCCCCTCTATTGCCCCTCCCTCCCTGCTGTCCCCCCTGACCACCCCCATAGCCCCTTCTATTGCTCCTCCCTCCCTGCTGTCCCCCCGCCCACCCCCATAGCCCCTTCTACTGCCCCTCCCTCCCCGCTGTCCCCTGTGCCCCTCTATTGCCCCTCCCACCCACGTGCCCCCTCTATTGTCCCTTCCTCCTTGCTGACCCTCCGCCCAACCCCTCTACTGTCCCTCCCTCCATCCCTGCTGTCCTCCTGCCCACCCCACGTGCCCCCTCACTGCCCCTCCCTCCCTGCTGTCCCCTGCCCATCCCCTGTGCCCCTCTATTGCCCCTCCCACTTCCGTGCCCCCTCTATTGTCCCTTCCTCCCTGCTGTCCCCCCTTTCCCCTGCATCTCCCTCCTCCAGTTCTCCCTCCCCCCCTACTTCTCTTCTGTGTTGCCCCCTGTGCAGTTATAAAGTTGCTACCCAAGTCCACATTGTTACATTTCTCTTTGTGCGTTAAATAAAACCCCTTGTCAGTCTCTCATTAACCAGCTTTTTTTCAACATCTAGGGCAAGGCGATGGATGTTGCCTCTGGACTTCATTCAGTGCTGGTGATCCCCCAGGCACTCACCCAGGTGGCCCTGCTCCAAAGGACAGACACTTGTGTGGCGCACATCATCGCTTGAATTGAACCCCTCTTAATTCTGGGGCACGACTGTGTAGATTCTCCTGTATTTTATTGCTGTTGCCAGGTGACCTGGATTAGACATGGCTAGTCTGGCCACCAAAGACTCATACCTGCAGAATTTAGCTAAGAAAATTTGTGTGCAGCAGGTCCAGGAGCCACGGAAAAGAACATTTGGTATTATTTCTATTTGTCCTATGAAACGAGGCTCCATTTCTTGATGCTGATTTCTAGAAACCCTGGCTTATAGCATGGTTTTCTTAGTAGGGTTATCAGGCCATCTGGTCTGTGCGACTTGGTAGGTAAAAACCAAACCGTACTGTAATGTGGGCCTCGATCCTGCAAACACTTAAGCACATCTGTAGTATTACTCACATGATTAGCCTCCTTGACTGCTGTGCAGCTGTTCATGTGCATAAAATTATACACGTGTTTAAATAGTTGTTGGACCGGGGACATAGGACACAACTGGGGTGTAGTTGGGTTCTCCTAATGTCTGTCATTTGAACATAGATAACATCTAAATCCCATAACTAAAGAGAGGCTTATGTCAGCATTAAAATTAAATGCAGTATGTTGCTGGGCTCCTAATTTTCAGTAATATGTGGTTGGTGAGGAGGACAGTGAAGA